GGCTGTTATAGACACCTCTTTGTTAGCAGGTTTGCCTTGAAAATAATGCCACACATTTCTTTTATAGTGTGCAGATGGAATAACCTTTGAACATGTATTCTTAGTTGGTGAAGTTTTGTCATCATATTTTTCAGACTTTTATTTAGAATGCCCACATATAAAAAATTGTTCAGATAAAGGTGGGAGGTACATAGAGCCGTTTATCAGCCTTTAGTCGGAATAGCTCTGTCCAATAGAACTTCTGTGATGATGAAAATGTTCTGTGTCTGCTCCATTCATATTGGTAGCTGCTAGCATCAGTGGGCACTTTAAATGTGGCTAATGTGACTGAAGAACTGAATTATTAATTTTATTTCACTTTGATTTGAATTTGAATTTGAATAACTGCCTATGTCCAGAGACTCTCGTAATGGACAGCATTGCCCTAGAATTTCCCATCATAGATCATTTCCGTTGGCTACTGATTGACTTCTACTTTCTTTTACAGCCACACTTTTTGAAAGAGTAGTATATATATGCTGTTTTCATTTTCTTATCTCCCATTCATTCTTCATTTTCAAGTGTCAATTCTAATTTATATTTTGATGCGGTTAAAAAAGGCACATACAAAGGTCTTTTCCTCTTTTATCTTTAGGCCTGCCCTAAGAGGGAAGCATTTTTTCCCAATTTGATTTCTGCTGATTTTGTGGTAGTCTCCATAATTAATATAAGATATTTTTATATATTTTCTCTTAAATTTTAACTTTATGCAATAATTGTAGACTGTCCTTTATTAAAGAAGAGGGTTTAATTGACATTAACTCCTACTTTCCTTCTCTAATTTGGATGATTATATTTTAATTTTTAATTCTTCTATTGCTTAACTTTTGTGACTTCAAATACTTTCTATCTCTTCTTTGTTAACGCTATGCAGTAGCTCTTGGCTTTCCACTATGAAAGACAGGGATACTAGCTCTGCTTCCCTTCTGGCTCTCCTGTGCTTCCACTTCACACCTTCACTCAGTCTATATTTCCTTTTACTGTGTTGAGTTTGGTGACATTTCCTTTGTTCCATTACTACAATTATGTCTTCTGTGTCTTGTCTATAGATGGTTCCTGAAACTTGAAAACAAGTGACTGTTTTTTTGTTTCTTGATCTATTGTTACTATCAGTCTTTGTGCCACAGGAAGGAAAAAGTTCTTAGTATGAAGATCAAAGTGAATTTATTTCACTTAATCAGTTGTTCAGAATATTTAAGTTAGCTCTATATTTATACTGACTTTCTTCCTTAGTTTTTGTTTTGCCTGGAGTTTCGAATTGCTTTTACCCTCTTGTTTACACAAGAATAATGTGCTTTACTCTCTTGTTTACACATGAATGATAGCTTCTGGTCCTTTAGTTATACTGTGTGTGGCATGGAATCCGCTTTCATTCCAGAGATAATTCCCAGAGCTCTTCCACCCCGCTCCAGTCTGCACTGATTGCTCACTCGGGCCCGCCACATACCTCTTATCCTGGGACTTGCTAAGGTCACACTCCTGGGGTTATATCTACTATTTCCTGGATTCCATTTATTCCTCTTTGGTTTTCTCCCTCAGGTTTCTGAAAGAAATCATTAGAATGAGTGTATAGAAGGTAAATCCCTAAGTTCTTAAAATTCTGAGAACATTTTTCCTTTTTCTGTTATACTTGGTTGATAATTTGCCTAGATATAGAATTCTAGGCCCATAATCCTTTACCCTGAGAAATTTGAGGCATTGTTCTATTGATTTTTACTATCTGGTGTTGCAGTTCAGTTGTGTGATGTAATATCTAACTTTTATTTCTTTGTATTTGACCTACTTTTTCTTTGTGGAAGCTTTAGAATTCCTTTATTTTTATTCTGACCTTGCATAAGGTGTGTCTAAATGTGTGGGTTTTTTTTTTTTTTTTCCCCTCATTGCACTATGAGGCACCAGTGGGACCTTTTGGACATGAAGACACATGACTTTCCGCAGTTTTAAAAAATAGTATATTGACCTTCTGGACCATTTTCTTATGTATTTAGCCTTATATCTTCCTTCTTATATTCTGGAAGATTTTTTTTTTTTTTCACTTTATATTCAACCCTGTCTTTTATTTTTTTAAAAATTTCACCAAGTTATATTTTTAATTTCTAAGCAACAGCCCTTTCTTAGTGTTTGATTGTCCTTTTTTCTTTGATGCTTATTACAAATGCATTATCTTGGGGCACCTGGGTGGCTCAGTTGGTTAAACGGCTTCCTTCAGCTCAGGTCATGGCTTCAGGGCCCTGGGATCGATTCTGGAGCCAGGCTCCTTGCCCAGCAGGGAGTCTACTTCTCTTTCTCTCTCAAATAAATAAATAAAAATTAAAAATAACAACAACAACAAACAGCACAACAAAACCAAACAAATGCATTATCTTCCAGAAACATTCTTCTGAGTATACCCTTTAGAATTTTATTACATTATCTTTTGTATCTGAATTTTCCTTCTCTTCTGAGTATACCCTTTAGAATTTTATTATATTATATTTTGTATCTGAATTTTCCTTCTGTTCTGAGTTTACCCTTTAGAATTTTATTATATTTTGTATCTGAATTTTCCTTCTGTTCTGAGTATACCCTTTAGAATTTTATTACATTATCTTTTGTATCTGAATTTTCCCCTTCTCGTCTTCTGTCTTTTGTTCTGTTTTCCTATCCTGGTTTTTCTGTTTTGTGCTGTTGATTTTACTTATATGTCTGGTGATCCTTCATTGCCTATCATAGTTAAGAATAAAGACTGGACCGAATGTTATAGGTAGTTGGCATAGGTTTTCTCTCCTGGGGTGTAGGTTGGCCTAGGTCTTTTTTCCCAATAGACTTTCCGTTCAGCAGTTGCTTTGATATATGGACACGCTTCATTAACTGCAGGCTTGCTTTTAGGGTATGTAAGTAGGATCCAGCTGTTTCACTGGGGCTACCACAATTGCCCTCCCCAATGCTATTTTTTCACTTTTGAGGATGACTGGGGCAAGTAGTGAGCACAGCTTGACCAACATAACAATAAAGTAGATTAACTTTCAAGTTATTCTCCAATTTTCAGCCTACTTCTCACTTTCTCCTTCTGCACAGTCAGCTTTGAATTAGTGGCCTTTTTCCGGTTCTCCCAGAAAGACTGGCTTTTACCTATCACTTTCTTGTAACATATACATGTTCTAAACTGTGGCTTCTGTTCAATTCATTCTTTCATACACTTCCCATCCACTTTTAGTCTTTCAGAAATGTGTCAAAATAATCTCATTTGCTAATGACTTTCTTCCTAGATCATAATCTTCACTGATATGAGTTTATTAATTTTTTAATTTCCTTGTTGTCAGTGAAAGAAGGTGAGTCTGTAGTCTTGAACTAGGAGCATCTGTCTCCCCAGTTCTTTCTCTATTAGGTCATTTCCCCTAAACTACTCCTGCTATGGGCTTCAGTGGCCTTCAGGTTAGTAACTCCAGTGTACTTTTCTTCTTTGTGTTTCTAGGTCTTACAGTAGTATTGTATGTGGTTAACCACTCCCTTTTGGTTTCCTTCATACCACATTCTTCTAATATTTCTCTAACCATTCTGGCTGCCCCACTTCAGTCTGCTTTGCTAGCTTCTCCTCTTTATGCAGCTCTGCATGTTGATTTTCTCATGTGTCGGTATTGGTTTATTTTCTCGTTCAATTTTTTTTCTCTAAATAATCTCAACCATTCTCATTGCTCCCAATACTGTCTATATGCCAGTGACTTCCAGTTTTGTATCTTCACCTAGATGAGTCTTTTTTTTTTTAATTTTTTTTTTTTAAGATTTTATTTATTTATTTGACAGAGAGAAATCACAAGCAGGCAGAGAGGCAGGCAGAGAGAGAGGAGGAAGCAGGCTCCCTGCTGAGCAGAAAGCCTGATGCGGGGCTTGAACCCAGGACCTGGGATCATGACCTGAGCCAAAGGCAGCGGCTTAACCCACTGAGCCACCCAGGCACCCCAACCTAGATGAGTCTTAAGTTTCTGACCCATGAGCCCATTTGCCTGGGGGAATATTTGGATAAATCATCAGGCACTTAAACTTATCCTGTTCAAAGTGGAATCCTGTTCAAAGTGGAATTCCCTTCCCCCAAATCTGTTCTTATTTTCTCCATCTCTGTAAATCGTATCACTGCCCACTCAGTTGCACATGCCATCTTGATCTGTGTGTTTCCCTTACTCCCCGCTTCCAGTTCATCACTCTTGGTTCTATTGCCAAAATATTTCTCAAGTGTACCCACTTCTCTCCATCTCTATAGCCAACATACCCTCGTTGAAGCTATCATCATCTTTCTCCTAAACTACCACAATGGCTTACTGGTCTCCCTACTTCCATTCTTGGATCTTCCAATTAACACAGCATTTAAGAAATATAAATTGAGTCATTGTCAAACCTTCTCCATATTTCATTGATCTTGGATTAAATTACAAAATTCCAAACATGGCTTGAGTGAGAAATATTTCTGTACACCTCTCCAATCTCATATTTTTTCCATTCTCCCTTGTTACTGTATTACACTAAATTGGCCTCATTTCTTTGCTCTTTCCTATTTTTGGGCATTCACATATGTTGTTCTCTCTGCCTGTACTATTCTTTGCTCTGCTTTCTGCCACATATGTAATCATTTTTAAATTTTACTTCTTCAGAGACGCCTTTCCTATCTTCAGTTTACAGTAGGTATTTATACTCCCTACACCCCCAGTATTCCTAGATACGAGTTAATACATGTATTAAAATGTGAACTTGGCAGACTTTTTTTTTATAAGGATACTGATAAAGCCTTAAGGAATATAAAAGTCTCTGTATTTGATTGTTTGAGGTGGCATTGGTGGTATATTCCCTGCTAAAATAATTTAGGCATTCAGAAACCAGACCCTTCTCTTGAAATACATTTCTAACTACCATGATGAGTAATGAGATGATTGTAGAGCCAGTCTGTGGCTAAATGATGCATGTTTATTCTGTTTTAATTTTATCTACAGTATTGAGGAGGACTGTTCAAACTCGTCCTGCTCCACGAATTCCTCCAACTGTGGAAATCATTGAGAAGGAACAAAATTGGGAAAAGACGGCCTTCCCTACTGACACAGACAATCAGAATTCAAGTGAAGAGAGTCGTCTCTTCACTCAGAGGTGGAGGGTGTCTCACATGGGGGAAGATCTGGAGAACAAAGCCCAGGCTCCTTTTGTTAACCTCTCCCAGCCCTTCTGTAGTTCCCATTCAAACACTCAGCAGGCCAGAATCCCCGAGTTCTCAGAAGACACCCTGGTACTGGGAGACGGGCAGCAGCTTAGAACAAATGAAGCATTAATACAAAGAAAAGACATCATGGCACGAATTGCTGAGTTGACCCTGCAGAATTCAGCTATCAAGGCACATCTGAATAATATTATTGGGCCAGGAGGAGAGCAAGGGGATGGAGTTCGGGAATTAAACAAACAAGAGACAAGTCATGTGAGCAACATGACTGCAGTGAGTACCAGTTAAGGGTTGACTAAGGACATTTAGGAATTTAAGTACTTTGCTGGAACAAAGGGTTCCTGGATATCTTTGAGGCTGCTACTAGAAGGCTTTATGCTTTGTCATGTCCTCATCACAAAAAAAAGAAAAGTTATTTATCAGTTTATTTAACACATACAGTAAAAGAGGACAACATAAAATAGAAAACGATGAAAATGAATGAGGAAAATAAGACAAAGGTAAAATGTGTAGAAAAGCTGAAATTAAGCTGCAAATGAAGTTATAAATATAAAATGCAAAATTAGTTTGAGTTTGAAAGCCTGCTATTCAGCTACATTTTAATTGAAAGCATTTTTATTCTCATAGGGCTCATACAAGAGAATTATGTGTAGCTGGGCCTCAATTCATGAGGAGTTAATTTTTTAGGACACACAATGCATTTTCCTGTAGAAATGATGTTTTAAAGGATTATTAAAGTCAGACTTTAATGTATGTATGAATCATCTGGAGATCTTGCTAAAATGCAGTTTCTGATTGAGCAGTTCTGAGATAGTACTTGTGCATTTTTGACAAGTTCCCAGATGGTACCGGACTGAGGATTATGCTTTGAATAGAAAAGTCTGCCTATTATAGTGAAGGAATTTTGTAGGCTAACCAGGTAACTTAAATCTTCATTTTCTTGTTCATGGGGAGAAAAGGGATTCTAAATTCCAGCTAGTGACTGTTTATAACATGTTCTTATGCTGGTCCCAGTGATGGGAGACATGTCCTTTTACCACTTTGTGAGCCACAGTGGCTCCTGTCAGGGTTCTGATAGCAGACGGAACAGTCTTTTAGCAGTGGGAAGGAGCTGGGCAGCTTTATGGATTAAGGATTCCAGAGGTGATTGCTTCTATAAAGGCCTTTACCAATGATAGATTGAGGGCTTCCATGAGGAAGTTTAGGAAGAGATGGGGGTGGGCTTAAGGGCCACCTCTGTCAGCACAGACTCACGGGAAATAAGGGCAGTATGAGTGTGGAGTCACAGAGTAATAGTCAGAGGGGACTGGCAATCTTTTACCAGGAAGAAGTATTAGGAGTGGGCAGCTGCCATCGGTATAGATGTGTATAAGTACAGATTGCCTTAATTTTGAGTCATTGGAGTTATTTCTGCATTTGCAGAATTTTGACGATTATTTGAAGCAGGTAACTAGCTCTTGGTTTTAAAAAGGCAACAGAGCTGAAAATTGAGCTTGCCTGCTTTTCTAATTAGTATACAGATCAGGCTAGTGAGGATAATCTGTTATTGTCTTCACCACTCTCTTTGTCATAATCTGAATTTCAGAGTGATCTTTAATTTAAATGTTTTGTTTATCTCTCTTTTTTAAAATTAATGAATGTATGTTACAAATTAGTGATTTCTATTAGGAATTTTTTTTTTCCTCAAAGAGACGTATTTAACTAAATGAAATAATCAAGAATGACACATGTATTCGTCTCAGGAATTTTCATATTAAATTTATATTATATTCCTTGGGTGGCTTTTTTACTCTACCTTTCATATTCTTTTCTAGTCACCCCATTTCTCAAATTAGATATCTGAGGCCAAACATGGCTTGGGGTGGCTGACCCCTGGTCAAGAAGAGTGATAAGATTCCTAGAAATCTTTGCCAAATAACTCATGGTACATGTATGATGATTGGGATGGTAGAAGCATCTCTCGAGGATAACAGATCCTTTTTTCTATACTGAGATTCACACCACAGATCTATCATTAATAGACCTGTTACTTAGAAGTCAGGTCAGTAGCAGTACTCTCTTTGCTCATGGGACCTTTTGTGTACCTCAACAAACATGAAGAGATGAAGGGAAGCTTTGTCCCACAGACATTCTCCATGGACAGTGGGACTAGAGGGATTATGTGGTGCCAGTATCAGAAGATTGGTATCCCTTTCCTTTAGCCCTAATTTTTCAATTAAATGACTTTTATTCTTTGCCTACTATTCAAGTTTACATATAGTAAGGGCCGTGAATACTAACTAGCTGGCTCTTAGTGGAAGAGCTCAGTTTTACAAAAAGTTAAAATTGTTTGGATTGTTTTTAATGTGGAATTTGTGCCCCCCCCCTTTTTTTTAAGACCTTTCCAGCAACACAACCTCTAACATCAAGTAGCATGGAGGAGCGGATTGCAGAATTGAATCGGCAGAGTATGGAGGCTCGTGGAAAACTCTTGCAGTTAATAGAGCAGCAGAAACTTATTGGTCTGAATCTTTCCTCTCCACCAGTATCACCCATTCCATCACCTCCCAGAGCATGGACTGGTTGGTCACAAATTCATGATTTAAAAGCCAGACACATGAGAGTTTTTACTTTCTTGATTTTGCAAGTATATATTGAGCTGAAAGAAATCTCAAAGCATATATTTCAATGTCTTCAATTTCACATTGAAAGAAACAGACCTAAGTCTCAGAATAAGTGACAGAAATAAGACTAGAAGGCCACTCTCCTGGTAGAAAGCTGTACCATGGTGCCTGCAGTTAATCTTTGGTATCTAAGTTCTTAAGTTGCCTGATGTGTAAATGGGATTCATTATAGTGTATGATTCACTTAGGACCTATGCAGTGGCTAAGTATAAAACATTAGCATCAAAATGATAATTTAGAATTTCATCAGCAACAAATTACAAGTTATTTTATTAAAACCAATTAAAACATTTTTATTTGTAAATTAAACTTCCCATTCTGTTATTTTATTTAAGAGTGTGATAAACCAGAGGGGCTTCTGAATAAGGCTAGTGACTGAAAAATTAGTTGTCATAACATTTACAAACAAAAAAGTATGGATGAAATGAAGTAGATCTTAAGTTGTTCTTTGGCAAAAATTGAATTACTAAGACCCTCAAAGGATAGAGCTGTATGAAGGCTATAGAGAGACTAATTTTGGCCCCGTATAAAAGAAGGTTCTAATTGTGAGGGATAGAAAATAATTATATCCTAAGTAGTATGTTCTCTGAGGTGTTTTAGACGGATTCATCTGTCCTGAGGCTGGTTGAAGTAGGCTGTCTTTAAGGTATCTGCCAATAAGACTTAAATTTTTTTTAATTCCAATATAGTTAACATACAGTGTTATATTAGTTTCAGGTGTATGATACAGTGATCCAACAATTCTCTACATTACTCAGTGATTACTTAGTGTGCTCTTAATCGCCTTCACCTGTTTCACCCATCCTCCCACCCACCTACCCTATAAGACTTTTTCTCTCAATTACAAATCATTTCTTTTTTGAAACTCCAGACCTAGAAAGCAGACTCTTGAAAATTACATGAAAATGACAGATAATGCATTCCCCCAGGGTCTTTTCTCTTTGCTTATTCTAGCTTCTTCATAGTCATGAAGTGTAGAGGCAACTTCTGATTAAAGCACTCGATACGTTTGACCATCTACTACCTGCCACCCTGCTCTGGGCCTTTGGAAAACTGCTTCAAGCAGGACAAATCCCTGTCCAGCATTAGGAGATAATGTCTTTAGCGCTAAGTGCAATGAAGAAGAATAAGCCAAATTACTCTTAAGAATAATTTTGTAATACATTAGACATCTTCTGTTTCAGTTGTTCTTTAAGTTTAAAAGTACTTTGTTTCTATTATCTTAATTAGTTCTCAACACACCCTGAGAGTATACAGAGCTGGTCTTACAGCTTTTTGATACATAAGTAAACTGAGGGAAAAGAAGTGATTTGTCTGAAGTTCTAAAACAAATTGGTAAATTTGCAAACTGCATTCTTTTTTTTTAAAGATTTTATTTACTTATTTATTTGACAGAGAGATTACAAGTAGGCAGAGAGGCAAGCAGAGAGAGAGGGGGAAGCGGGCTCCCAGCTGAGCAGAGAGCCTGATTCGGGGCTTGATCCCAGGATCCTGAGATCATGACCTGAGTCAGAGACAGAGGCTTAACCCACTGAGCCGCCCAGGCGCCCCTAAATGGAGTTCTTTTCATTCCAGTGGTTGTATCTCCAAAATACTCTTTTTTGATGATTTCTCCAAGATATTCCTTTTTAAAAGTAAAATTTTTGCTTTCATGGGTACCTTTATGCACTGTGATGATAAAGATATAAATAGTCATATGCCATGCAAAACCTCTTTTGTTTTCTAGGGTAATGGAGGAATATGTCGTACAATTAAATATGATTTCATTACCCAATAAAGCTCTTAAGTACTGATTCCCAGGAGCCTCTGTGAAACTGCCCAGGATAGACATTAAGTCTTTCATTAGTAGATAGTAAATATTTGTTAAGTGATAATCTACTTGTGAAATATTGAAAATGAATACAATTATACTTGCCATTGGCTATATGAGCTCTTCAGCCAACTTTCCCCTCCTAAGCTAATGCCTTCAGGAATCTAATAATGTAATAGATTTAGAGGATTTAAAGTTTTATTGAATGACTTCAGAAATTTTCCTTTTTCTTTTTAATTTTTTTGAAAATTTTAGATAAGTTCTTTGTGACAAAAATCTTAAGATTTTTAGGGCTAGCTCTTAATTTCTGTTTTTCACTTCCAGATCTGACATGATACCACTTGTCTGAAGATTCTGGCTTTCTATGAACTGGCATGCTACTGAATTGACACTAGTAACTAAAGTTTCTTGTCTCACAGTTCATTTTGAGAAACAAACAAACAAAAAATCCTTCAAAGGTGTCTGTGGGCCATAATGAAAATATAGAAAGAACCTCCAAATTTGTAATGTGCAATTTGCAGTAAGATAGAAATCAAGTTAAATTTTCATTTTATTTTAATGAAAGATAATGAAACTAATATTTATTTTTATATTTTAGAAGGAGGAAAGAGGACCATTGAAGTATCTATTCCAGGAGCTGAAGCCCCAGAAAGCTCAAAATGCAGTACTGTCTCTCCTACCAGTGGGATAAATACCAGAAGGTAGGGTTACAATGTGAACAGTTACTTTAAAAAATAAAAAAATGTGGTTTTTCATTCTATCTGTGAAAAAAGAAAGTGCATGGTATCTAACTTAGGTTCAGACAGACTCACTCGTGTAGAGAAAATAAAGCAATTGGAGAGAAGAATTTCTGGGGAAAAAGAAGAGGAGTGAGGAATAGGCCTTAAGTAGAACAGTGTGGGTTGGCTGTTAAGAACAAAAATAGGATAATAGCACATATATGGAGCACTTTATAGGTTATAAAATTAGGAGATAACCTCTGACAGGGTGGGTAAAGTGACCAGTAGTATTTTTCTCCTTTATAATAAACTGAAGCTCATTGAGCTACTTGAGTGTTTTGCTTAGATGGGTCACATGGTTGGTAAAAGGTGGCACTGAGGGTGGACCTGGCTCTTCTGTCTCTACTCTCTGTGCTTACCGAGACACTGCGGTGCTGTTCCAGGGCTCCTTACTCTTCCAGGCTTACCCCTGCCCTTGCACATGCATCTTTCCCCTTTAATGTTCAAAATGTTACAGCATGATACTTGATGGTGGAAATTGTCATTATATACTCGTCAAAACTCATAGAATGTATAACAAAAGGGTGAGCCCTGATGCAAGCTATGGATTTAATGAATACTGTATCAATATTATCTCATCAGTTGTGATAAATGTAGTAACCTGATGCAAAGTGTTAATAATAGGGGAAACTGTGGGGGAGATGAGAGCTATATTGGAGCTCTCTGTACTTTACATTTGGTCCTTTTGTAAACCTAAAACTGCCCTAAAAATGGAAGTCTATTTAATTAAAAGCAAACAAACAACTTAGGGTGGTTAAAATATGTTACAAATAATTACCTCATTTAGACTTAACTCAGCCATTGCCAGTACTGAGATTTGTCAGTCTTATATAATTTTTGAAAGTTAATGATGATAGATCACACTCTCACTCTCTTTTATTTCTCATAAATAGATCTTCAGGGGCTACTAGTAATTCTTGTTCTCCATTAAACGCCACCTCAGGAAGTGGGCGATTCACACCTGTTAATCCAAGAACAAAGGTATGTGATAAAATGTAATTGTGAAATTTGTGTAGGGGTCAGGGAAGGTGGTTGATTTAGTGATTTCCATTTTTTTTTTTTAAGATTTTATTTATTTATTTGACAGAGAGAGACCAAGCAGGCAGAGAGGCAGGCAGAGAGAGAGAGAGGAGGAAGCAGGCTCCCTGCCAAGCAGAGAGCCCGATGCGGGACTTGATCCCAGGACCCTGAGATCATGACCTGAGCCGAAGGCAGAGGCTTAACCCACTGAGCCACCCACTCGCCCCTAGTGATTTCCATTCTTAATTGGTCTTGTTATCCTACAGGTGACATAAAATTCTCAGAAGAAAGAATTCCTAATTCACCTTTACTAGAAAAAAACCATTAAGCCATATAGTTTCTTTTGTGTTCTAGGGTAGCTAAGGAATAAGGTAAAATTCAATAGGATTTCAACATACACTGGAAATCACTGGTTTCAGGCAAAGCATTCCAGTAATGCGACAGGACATACAGGCGTGCCTTGAAGTCCCTTGGTGCTTGCTTTGGCTGTGTGGGATTGGGATATTCTGGGCCCTGGGGCCACTTTTCTTGTCACTTTACCCTAGTGTGCTGTATTTGAGTGTGCCACTGGTTAGAGAAGTTGCGGTTAATCAGTGTCATGCATATTCTTCATGTGTTCTGATTTGCTGTAGATAGTGAGTGCTTCAGTAAATATTGAGTATTTATAGCCCAGATTGTTATTCTCAAATATCCCAATTGTCTAGCACTACAAGATTTGTTCTTTGCTGTTTCTTATATCCTAAAAAACTTTTTTTAAATAAAGATTTACTTATTTATTTAAAAGAGAGAGAGCACACGTGTGTGCACACACATAAGAGAGGTAGAGGCAGAGGGAGAGGAGAGAGAACCTCAGGCAGATTCTCTGCTGAGTGTGGAGCCCAGCATTGGGCTCCATCCCACAACCCTGAGATCATGACCTGAGCTGAAATCAAGACTCAGACACTTAACCAACTGAGCCACCCAGGCGCCCCTAAAAAAGTTTTAAAGTAGAATGTTTTATATAATTTGCCCTTAGTCTCTGGAATTTAGTAACAAATTAAATTTACTAAGATCAAATAACTTTGCTATTTTAAAAGTTTGTACCTATAGTTTGTATAAAATACTGGATTCATCTTTTATTTAAAATTTAGGTTTCCTCAATCAGTCAGGGGATCTGTTGACCAGGGGAATCAGTTATTTGGGAGTGGCTCTGTTAGGAAATAAAAATTGCCAGTAGCAGTTTAATTTTCAGTATCCTGTGATGACATAGGATAACTTTGATTCTATGTACTTGGTCTAAATAATTATAAACCTTGACTGGGCTCATGTTTCTGATTACTTTCTAAATCCACCTTGCATCTTTGTTCAACAGACGGAAAAACAGAATGAAGAAGGCTGGTTTGCTCTTTCTACCCACGTGTCATAAGTGAAGTTCGTTGTATAGAATTTGTTTTCAGCAGTATATTCTTGAGCTCCCACTCCCCTTTCTTTCCCTGCTTCTGCTTTCAGGTTTTCTTGTCCTTTTAGGTAAAACCTACAAAGATCTTGTAACTTAGTACTTATGGAACAAAGAATAAAGCAATTATTTAAATCTTGGATCTTTTCAAATAGATTTCCAACAACTAACCAATGTACAACCTTCTGTGAATTAAATTTTGATTTTAGGGAAATTAGTTTTATATTCTCATAATTTCATAAGTATTGTAAGGTTTTGCTGAGTAATACATTTTTACCTTTTTCATCTTTATTCAGGTTTTCTTTTTTTGTCTAGTATATCTTAAGTGATGTATTTCTTTTATTTTTTTCTAAAGAACTAAGTTGCTTTGTATATAACTTATAATAAAATGGCTCTGGGTGATTAAAGTCTGGCTTTCAGAAAAATTAAGCCCTCCCTTTGATTTCTTTTTGGGTAGGAAGTTACTGTTGTCCATGGATTTTTCCATCAAGTGGAATGTACAGCTTTAAAAAATAGGTGCGGGGGTGTCTATTCACATTTGTTTATGCAGCTAAGAGTGGATGTATAGATTATAAAATTCTTAGATAGGCTTTGAATGGGAAAATGTCATCAATAATTGTAATGTATGTCAAATAAATAATGATCATAGAGCTTGTGTCTAAATGCAGTGACATTGATTTATTGGTATATTTAGTGTTTGAAACAGAAATGAGTACAAAAGTTTGCTATCAACTTTCCCAGCCCTGAATCTACAACACATTCAAGATTGTTTTCTCCAAAGCACCTGTTTGGCTCTCAGACACTGGCTTTTATTTTAAACTTCCTTTTAAAATTATCTCTGTTCTTTCCCTGTGGGATGGGAATTCTCAACCTGGTGTAGTGGGAGTAGGTCAGGGGAAACACATTGAAACTACTTGGGGAACTTTCTCAGACAACACTGTCCCTCCTGAGTTATTCGTATTCTTTGAAGTGTCAAACGCAACTTTCATTTGGGCCTCTTCATTGTGGTGGCAAAAATATAATTCTTCCCTGGTATCATTGATGTTATTTACGTGAAGTCATCTGTATTCATTTGCATTATTGCAGGTTCTTCCATCTGTAATGTACTTTTTAAAAACTTGGTGTTTAATAAATACTATCCCTGCCTGGAATATAAAGCCATTTTAATACCATTCCTAATATTGAAATGTCAAGTTTTCTTCTTGGTCTGTGAATGCATTGTTTTTTGTTTTTTTGTGTTTTTTTTTTTTAATTTTTGAAGTTTTTATTTAAATTCCAGTTAGTTAACATGCAATGTAGTATTAGTTTCAGATGTACAATATAGTGATTCAACACTTCCATACATTACCTGGTGCTCATCACAAGTGCCCTCCCCAATCCCCATCACCCATTTCACCCATTCCCCCTACCCACCTCCCTGCTGGTAACCATCAAGTTTGTTCACTATAGTTAATGGTCTGTTTCTTGGTGTGCCTCTCTGTCTCTTTTTCTTTTTCCCCTTCGCTCATTTGTTTCTTAAATTACACATATAAACGAGATCATAAGGTATTTGTCTTTCTCTGACCAACTGACTTCTCTTAGTGTTCTCTAGTTCTATCCACATTGTTGCAAATGGCAAGATTTCATGTGAATGTATTCTTTTTTTTTTTTTTTTTCATGTGAATGTATTCTTTGGACTTAATTTCTCTTAATGTTCCTCAACTGGTTGGCTGTTTACTTTTTCCCCTTTTATTCCTTTAAACTTCAAAAGCCATGGATCTCAACTTTGGGAGCACGGAAAAAAGACCAAACCAGCTACCTGGGAAGTGAGCCGTTGGCATGACATTTATCTGCCTGTCTGTCTATCTGTCCACCTGAGGGCGCGTGTGTAAGAGCACAAGCAGGGGAAGCAGCATGCAGGGGGAGAAGCAGGCTTCCCAGTGAGCAGGGAGCTGGACGCAGGACTCAGTCCCAGGACCCTGGGATCATTACCTGAGCTGAATGAAGCCAGACGCTTACCCAGCTGAGTCACTTAGATATCCCTTGACATGACATTTTCTAAAAAGCTGCTTAAGATGATTTAATGTGTAGCCAAAGTTGAGAACTAGTGCTCATTGGCAATCTGTGGAACTGATATTTAAGTATCCATCCTGCTAATAATTGTTTTAATTGATAAACTTCAAAAGTAGGTTAAAAAAAAATTCCCAAGAATAATAGATAACAGGGAAAAGAGCTTGCTCTCTTAGGCTTTCTAAAGCAGTGCTTCTCGGCTTTGGTTGCCTTTAGGGTCATATAGGGACCTTCTAAAATTCCCAATGGCCAAGTCTCACTCCAGACTAGTTAACTTAGACCTGGGAGTAGGACAGAAACATTTTAAGAAACCTCCTCGGATGATTCCAGTGTATAGCCAAGCTTGGGAAACATTATGAAGATACTTATTACCCCCAAATCATAAATTGGTGCATATTTGGTTTTAAGTAACACTACTTTGTTTCCTCTATCAGCTTTCAGAGCTGGCTGCACCAGTGGATTTCCAAGTATAGCCCTGCCCAGCAGTGTCAGGATCACCAGGGTACTTGTTAGAAGTGAAAATTCATGGGCCCTGCCCTAGACCCATTGATCAGAAAATGTCTGTTTTAATAGGCGCCTCATGTGATTCCGATGCATGCTTCAGTTTGGGAACCATTGATCTTAGTTTCTCAGAGGGGTGAACTCTGCTATATTTGATGATGTACTACATTTGTATTTACTTTTCTAGTCCAAACTCAGATCACTTCTATTTCTTGTGTTAGGACTCAAGTTTTTGGCTAACATAGGACTTCTCCAAAATGCCCCAGGGATGCCTGGGTGGCTCCATCCATTCTGCCTTTGGCTCAGGTCATGATCCCATGGTCCTGAGATGAAGGCCCAGGCTCCCGGCTCAGCAGGAGCCTGCTTCTCCCTGTCCCTTTGCCCCACCCTGCTTGTACACACACTCTCTCTCAAATAAATAAAATCTTAAAAAAAAAAAAAAAGCCCCAGAAAGCTGCTATATCACTTGCTAAACTTTAATAAGATTTGCAGTTTTCCATATTACAGCTTGGGAGAGAAACAAGATCATCAAATCCTCAGTTAATGATACAGTCATTCCTATGCTGAATAGTGAGATCATTTTAAGTTAGCAGAATTTAATAATAATTTACTGTTTCGTAAGTGCCAGGCGCTGTTTTAGCCACTTTTCATGATTTTAAGATACCTTTATGAGGTAGATACTATTACCTTCTTTTGCAGATAAAGAAACTGAAGTACCAGGAGGGGTAAGTACCCTCTCAAAGTCACACAACTTAGCCGTGGGGGCCCTGGGATGGGACATAAGAAGTCTCTGCACAAAGCCTACACTATGCTGCCATCTTACAGTGACTATGGTATGCAAGTACAAAATCATAACAACAGTAATAATTATAGCTATCTTTATTGAGCCATAACTGTGGTTATCTCATCAAAATCTCCAGTAAAACTGAGGTAGACACCTTTAAATGCCACCCACCTCCCCTTTACAGATGAGGAAATTGAGCCCTGGAGATGAAGTAAGTAAGTTGTCTAATGCCAGGGTGTATGAGGTAAAGCCAGGACTTGAAGCTCTTTTTTTTTTTTCTTTTTAGATAGTGAACACATAATCAGGGGAGAGGGTCCCAAGGGAGAGGGAGAGAGAGAATCTTAATCAGGCTCCATGCTCAGCACAGAGCCCAATGCAGGGCTCAATCCCACGTCCCTGAGATCATGACTTGAGCCAAAATCAAGAGTCAGATGCTTAACTGAGTCACCCAGGCACCCCCCCTTTTTTTTTTTTTAAAAAGATTTTCTTTATTTAACAGAGAGAGATCACAAGTAGGCAGAGAGGCAGGCAGAGACAGAGGGGGAAGCAGGCTCCCTGCTGAGCAGAGAGCCCACTGCAGGGCTCGTTTCTAGGACCCTGAGATCATGACCCGAGCTGGAGGCAGAGGCTTAATCCATTGAGCCACCCAGGTGCCCTGGCACCCCTCTTTTTAAAATATAATTATTGGACTCCTCCTAACTTACAATAGTTGATCCAGCACAGCGGCTAAGTTTGCAAGTATTGCTATCACAAAGCTTGGATGCAAATGCCAACTCTGCCACTTGGGCTGTGTCCCTGAGTACATTATCTCATTTTCCCATTTGAGAGTCAGACATGATATATCTTATAGGGTTGTGAGGAGTAAGAGAGGTGAGTATATGTAAATATGTTAAGGACAGGGACCTGACTCATAATAAGCATTCCGTAATGATAATTGCCAGTTTTTTGGTGCACAAATAAATACACTATTTCCTTGTGTTTCCAGATTTTTAAAGATACTATGTAGTGAATTCTTTGTGGTTTTCTCAAATTAACATTGGACTCAGTGCTTTAAATTTAGACATATTTCACCTGAAGATGTTTGGAGGTTGAAAGAAAACATGTTGAGAATATTATTTGAAAATATAACTAACATGCTGTTTAAAAATAAGTTTATCCTGTGTTTTCTGACTTTTCAGACACCCTGGATATACCATTTGATAATTAACAGTAAAGATAATCTTTTAAATCAGGAGACTTTAAAAGTCAAGAATACTTGACTAAAGAGAACATTTCAGTACTACCAACAAATGCATGGAATAAAGTTTTTGGAAAATTGTGTAACATGGAAACCAATAAATACAAAATAGAACACAGCCTTTAAAAAAACAACTTTATTGAGAAATAATGTATATATAATTAACTATCTAAACTTAAAAAGAATAATTAATTGACTTTTGGCAGCTGAATCTACCACTACAAGACACATTTCGGTCATCTCCAAAAGATTCCTCCCGTCCCTTCAGTGCAACCCTCCCTTTACTCTAGCCCTGGGCAAAAACTGATGTGCTTTTTGTCATCACAGATTTATCTAAAAAGAATCATACAATTGTACTATTTTGTGTCTGGCTCTTTCACTTACTATAACTGAGATTCATTCATGTTGTGTGTGTCAGTTTCCTCCTTTTTTACTTCTGAGTAGTATCCTATTGTATGGGTATTTATCCATTTCCCTGTCAATGACCATTGGGTTTCTTTCCAGTTTCTGGCTATCAAGCATAGCTGCTGTCAAGGTTCACGGACAAGGCTTTGTATGGACAGAAGTTTTTGTTTTTCTTGGATAAATACCTCGGACAAGGAATGGCCTGGTATAAATTTAGCTTTTAAAGAAACTGCCAAATGGTTTTCCAAAATCGTTGTTCCATTAGATTCCAACCAGCAGTCTCTGAGAGTTCCAGTTGCTGCATATCTTCCACATTGGGTTCTGGCAGTTTTAAAAATTGTACCCATTGCGGCAGGTGTGGTGTATGTGCGTTGTGGTGTGCATTTCGCAAAGGGCTACTGTGTTTGCTGGCCACTCAGACCTCTGATAAGGTGAAGTAGTTAAAGCCCTTTGCCCATTTGAAAAATTAGGTTCTAAGGTTTTTTGGTTTTTTTTTCCTTATTCAGTTGTAAGAATCCACTATGCATTCTGGATACAAAGTGCTTTGTCACTTATTGCAACACTGTACCCAGTGTATCTTAAGTTTTTATTTAAAGTCCAGTTAACATACAGGATAGTTATCAGTTTCAGGTGTACCAGGTAGCCATTTTAAAACAATGTTTGGTAACGAGTGACTCTGCACCACAGAGCCGCTCAGGAGCAATTTCTGCGGAACCCAGAAATTCTGGGTAGGCCTCTACTTTGCGAACCCCGCATCATGAGACCAAGGGTCCCACAACATAAAATCATTTCCGTGTAGAAGCCAACGGAGATAACAGAGGCA